ACTTTCTGAGTTTAGTGGCCAGTGGTCGTAAAAATGTCATTTTTTAGTCCTCATAGATTTTTTCATTAAATGCTTCAAAACAAAATGTTTAATATTTTCCTTTTAGTTTTTCTTGTCTTTGCAAAATAATGTATRATTTAGGTTTTCTGGGGGGAAAACGCCAAAAAGCGTAATTCCCTGTGATGATATCATAATTTTTTTTTGCTAGAGCGGGTTGTATTTATCGTGATCTCGAAAACCCCCTTCGTTTTTACTTTCCTGATTTGAAATTAGCTTAAAATTTAGGTTTAAGAAGTTGTGATTCGAAAATCTTGGATTCTTCAAAAATAATGGATTTTTCAATATAACAGTAGGCAATCAAGCATTTCAAGGATACAGATTTAAAAGTTTTTGGTCACCCTGTGGATGCAGGTGCCGTTCACCGGGAATAGGGGACCGGAATGGAGTCTATTTCTAAGCAACCGCTGGTAACGTCACCGCTGGTCGAAAGAACTGTTTAAAATCATTTCACTACAATGTACACGGGCAAAGATCATGGAATGACGATGGGACTTTCCCTTTTTTGAAGAGAGGAGTAAAGTAAAACTGTCCTTGACAACGACTAATAAAAGGTAAAGATAGCTTTTTTTTTGTCTGATACTTACAGTAAGCTTAAAGAGAAAACCTTGAGAGTTTTTGGCTAGGCGGCAATTTGTAAACTATACCTGGAAAAAATATAAATATTCAGTCTAGTGTCCAGTTTGAAAATATTTGTATAAAATTCCGTCCTCACCCTTGTCTTCTTACTTTAGTCATTACTGAACTTTACGACTTATATGGWGATGTTTACTTTGTGAAATTTTTCTTTACTTAGCTTAAATGGCATCCATGTGCAAATGCTGCAGGAAAAACGAGAGAGTCCATGATCTGATTCAAGTTAGAGAAGCCCTAAATGTCACCCCACAGCCAGAACAGCCACAAGAAGAGGTGGCAGAACAATATGGATGCCTTACGAGATTTCTCATATATGGTCTACTAGGAGGCTCTGTAATGATAATTCTAGTTGTGGTGTTATCAGTTGCATTGACTTTGGAAAATTCAAAAGGTGAGTTTCGACGTGCATACAGTGCATGTCACAAGGAAACTTTTCTACGCCACAATCTCGAGCGATCGCCGCTCAAATTTTATTTAAAAGCTATTAAACTATTATATATGCAAAATTAGTCTGATGCTAGCAATGTAAAATGTAGTAAAAGTAATTAACATCTCAAATATCTGAAGCGAAAAAAAAAAATGGCGACCTTCGACTGTTTCGCACGGTTCTATACCCTGTTCTTTCTTTGTCGAGCTTTTTTTTTCTTATATGAAGTGTGTTCTCTAAGGAACTGAAGGAATATTTTTACAGCGTAATCAAGTTTTTCTGGTCTTTAGACTACTTCTTCTCAGAGCTTTGAGTTAATGTACATTTGAACTTTCGATTTGAGCTCACGATGTGCGCGCGCACAAAACAAATGGATAACCTTCAATAGGGCAAAATCCTATAAGACAGGAGGAAAATTGGGGCGTCCCTAGCTCGTTTTCCATATAATGAAAATTGAATATTACCATATGCATCTTAACAAGTTTTCAAAAGAAATATGGTGGAAACCAAGCTTCACACAAGGTTATTTCATAATTGAAAATCGTTTTTAAACGATATCAACCAAGGATAAGAACGGACCGGTAACGGACTGTCCMGGTAACGCTTTTTCTATAGAACTATTAAATTACGTTTTTTCCCTTCAAACTTTGACAAAAGATTGCCGTGTAAAATTTTACGGTTTTGATTTKTTGCAAAAAAACTGTGGCCGTATCACGAATAATATCCGACCCCAGATCATTGCTGGATTTCAATCATTCCCAAGAGAATGAAATAACAAAATACACCGCGGCCATGTTGGGTGATATAACAAAAGAGACTTACATCAAAGAATGCCGCCTCATTATCACCTGATATCCATTGTTTTTAATGAGTTCGGTGCATGGAAAGTTCGACGTTTGCCCTAGGCCTAAAATGACGAACCTATTGTAAAATTCATCGAACATGGCGGCTGTGACAACCTTGACCACTTATTGTTTAAGTGTTTTTTCATGTTTTATTCTACACTGGTTCCAGAGGCTTGAGGAGGTCGAGGAGGAAAATTGCAAACTATCGCAACAACTTTACCAAAGATTACAAATATTTTTCTGAACACTTCTTKCCTGTTGATCAAACAAGAAATTCAATCTAGGAAAAGGACTAATTCAATTGGATAGCTTTTAAACACGGTCATTGAGTTACTAGAACACAGTCACGCACGGAMAAGTAATGTAATAAGTTTAGTTTAGATCTGATTACTCGTGACATTTGAGCTTGTCAATTAATTACTTTCATATTATGAGATTTTTTTAAAAAAAGCTTTCGTGACATTTGAGCTTCTTGTCAATTAAATTACTTTCATATTATGAGATTTCAAAAAAAAAATGCTTTCGGATGGGAAAATGTAATAATTTTCATAGTTTTTATTTATTATGCTCACTCAATAGAGGATACATATAATACTGAGTTATTTTTTGTGCCAAAATTTAAAAATCTTCTRAAAAATGCTATTATTGGTCAATAGTTTGCGATAGGCTATGCGGAAGTTAAGTCCACACTCCTTAAATCGAAAATATGCACAGTGAATTCCTCTTTTATTTTATTTTTATCATTCTGATTTTCAATTTCTTGGCATTTTATTACAACATTTATCCAAACTATTGGTATTTCTTACCTTTTATTAAAGATCTATCAAAACAAAGAGATGAACTGCCAATAAACAAGTCGTTAGAATGGTCAGAATGGGGAGTATGCAGTAGGACATGTGGCAATGGTACTCGTACCCGCCAGCTTGACTGTAGCACCACCACAGGACCTTGTAATAGCAGTATCCTCGATACACAGGATTGTAATAACTATGTGTGCCCAACAGGTAAGAAAAACAGGCTTCTCCGTCTCTAATTGAGGACTCTTATCAAAAACACTAAAAAGTAACTCCTTAATCCCATTTTGAGCCCCTTCCTTCACTTGATATGAAATCCTTTTAAGAAGTTATTATATCATAGTTTAACTATAATTTTAGACTTGACCATATGAAAAACGAGCGTTATAAGACTGGTAACGAGCACCACGAACAATTACTGGTTTCAAAAATATTTTTTCGATATTACAAGAAAGACCATGTTCAAATTAGTAATATCGAAGAGTTCTGTTGTCGTATATTAAAATCGAGTTATAAGCAGACCTACTATAGGTCCTCATATCTACCAAGAACTATAGAATTATGGAACAGCCTACCCGGCAACTGAGCTGAAAACCACGCCAATGTCCTTGGCGAAATTTAAAAAGTTAATTTCTGAACACTATGACCACAAATTATCATCCTATCAGCGAACTCAGTAACTCATTGTTATAGCTTTTAGACCATTCCTCTTTTGCTATTTCATCAGTACTAATTTTTTCATAATGCAAAATTGTTCTAAAAGTACTTCCTGGTATTTTTTCAGTTTTTATCATAATAACCTACTTCTTTTTCACTATTTTTTCCTTTTTGTCTCTATACAACTATATTTAGCTCACTTAATTTATTAGTATAGGAAATCGCACGATCTCGAGTACAATTTGGAAATTAATAGACACAAGTAATGTTTTGAAAGTTCTTATAATTGCACGAGCCTTTAGGCGAGTACAATTAAAGAACTTTCAAAACATTACGAGTGTCTATTAATTCCAAATTGTACGACAAGATCGTGCGATTTTTTGTTTATAGTTCACTCAACAAAATTTCAGTAAAAAATGCGAAGCGACGCCGTTCATCTTTGTCTATTTGGCGGCCCATTTCCAGTCCATCGTGCAACTGAAATGCATAAAGAAGATTAGTTCTTACGGCTTTAAAATTTCATTTATGCTTTTTAAGTACAAAATGATAGAAAATAATTGTTTTGACATTGTTTTGGCCGTGTTGCCATAGCGACTTAATTTGGTACTCCTACGGAGTACAATTAACGCTATAATTGTACTCCTCTCGACCAATCAGAGTCGAGTAATTTTGTTGARTGTACTATAAGATCACATATTGTACCTCAGGTTGTAAATAGTGACGAATAAACTAAACTAAACTAAACTAAACTAAATGTACCGAAAACATCACAGCGAGGCTGGTAGGCCCTTTTTTTCCATACAAACCTTTCTAATTTCAAACAGCTGCAGCTTTTTCTCATTTAATGTTATTGCACTAAAATGTTAGAAGATCACTAATTTCGATATATCTTTGTAATGAAAGCATTGTTGTCTTCTATAACTGATGACCTAAGGTATCTCAAGGTACAACACCTTGTTCATATAGTCTATAGAGTGTACACACACCGATACACACCGAATCGAAAGATGGTGACCAATTTGAATAACTACTGTTCTGCACTGACTAGC